GGTAGAAGGCTGCTGTCAGTTCTTATCTTTTTTAACCTATCTACAGTATAACATTATTGACCACTCCATGTTGCCCTTTTCCTCCTTCTTCTGTTCTGATTAAGTTTGTTTGATTTATCTTTCATTTTCAATTGATTATAACTTACATTTTAACATGACTTTCATTTTTACTTATTTTGAAATAGTTATATGCTTCAAAGAGGGTGCAAAAGTAGTACAAAGAGGTATAAAATACTTTTATTAAAACGTTCAAATATCAAATTAAAATTCCCAGATCTTTTGTTTTTCTCTTTAACGCACATCTCAGAGCTGCTACTGACAATTTAGTGTGTATATTTTCAGACATTTTCTATGTATATAAAGGTCTCTTTGTCTTAACCTCTCCTGTTTCTTAGTTTCTATGGCATTTTTCCCCCCACTTTTTACTTTTTTTTCAACCATTACCTTTCAAGAACATTTTGGAAGCTCCATTTTTCTGGCACTTTAAGTACTGAGGTCTCCATGTTTAGCTCTTTTTGAGGTCTCCATGTTTAGCTCTTTTTTTTTTTCTCTCTCATTTTAGTCAGACCACATGCCTTTACCATATAGTATATAATGATCTAGATGCTCACAGTTGACAACCTTGCATAAGTTGACTATCTCCACTATCTTTATTTTGTAGTTATACTTTAAGAATTTTAAATCTGGGTTTCTAATAGCCACCTGCTTATTTCTACTAGCAAATCCTATGATATATGGAAAGTCCTTTACGTAAAATTTAACATATGACTAAAAAATAATTCCTCATCTCTCCTGTTCTTTTTCCTGTATTCCCCCTCTTAGCAGAGAGCAGCATCACCATCCTCAACTTTGGAAATTATTGTGACTCTTTCCTCATTCAGACTGACATCAGTCACTAAGTCCTTCTAATTTTACCTTTTAAATAATTCTCCAATTCTCCTTTTTATTTTCAGACTCACTGCATTAACTCATACTGTTCTCCTTTATAACTGCCTTCTAATTGGCTTTCCTTCCTCTAATTGGGCTCTCTTCCAATCTGTCTTCGATTGTGCTGCCAGGCGAATTTTTCTAACCCGCCAATGCGAAAATAAAACTTTTCTTAAAAACTTTTCCATGATTCTCTCTTGTCTTCAGAAGGAATTCAGAACCTTTGACTGACCTTACAAGAACCAGCAGGGCTGTTGCCTACATAATCTCCAGACTTGGTAGTCACCATATCCTCAAATGCTTTTTCACTCACATCACACTGACCATTTTGCTGGCCCCACAAAGTGCCATTTTCTCTTGCCTCCCTGCTTTGTTGCATATGGTTTCCTCCACCTTTACATTTTTCTTTAATTCTCTTCCTTGTCTTCATCATTCATAAATTCTCAGCTAAAGCATCACCTTATCTCAATTATTTTTCTGCACCTCTTATCTTCTGTGGCCACTCTTCATAGGGCTGTAATGTTTTGTTCTTTCTACTTTCCTAACACCCTGTGCACATCTGAAATATAACTCTCAAGATACTCATTGTTAATTTCCTCAGGTCTTTGTACACCTATTAAATTGTTTTATTCTCATCTGTACCTTCAACATTTAACACAATTGCCGGTACACTGTGGGCATACTATTCAACAGATAAAAAATGTGATCTGATATAATAGCCAGGTTCATAAATTTCTAAAACATAAATCCTTTCTGTTTTGTTAAAATATGAGAATTACGCTACCTTATTCAAACGTTTGCCTGTATCACTTCAAATAGGTCATATGAACCCATTACAGATTACACTTATAATTTATAATATAAATTTTAGTAAAATAATAATAGCACTCTGAAAGTATTCCACATTGGCTGGAGTTAATGCATTCCAGAAACATCCATTACAGATCCAGGTATAAGTTTTAGTATAGGGTGATGGCAGAAACAACCTCATGAAGAACATTTTTTACAGAGAGAAAAATGCCATTTAAAATACATATACAATTGTTCTAAT